CTTCCCTGCTAATGACCTGGGGAAGCACCAACAGGTGGCCCAAGGCGTTGGGACCCTGTCCACATGTAGGAGACCTGGAAGAACCTCCAGGTGTAGTATCATACTTTTATACATTGTTGGATGAGATTGCTAATGCTTTGTTGAAGTTTTTTGCATCTATTTTCTAGAGAGATCTGTGGTTTTCTTCTGTTATAAGAACTTGATCAGACCTTGGTGTCAGGATAGTGCCTGACCTAATAAGATGAATTTGGAAATATCTTCTAGAGGAAAGTACTGTGGATAATTTCCTTTTTAAAAAAAATAGCTATTAATTTATTTTAAAAACAGAATTACACAGAGAGAAGGAGAAACAGAGAAAGACAGAGGTCTTCCATTCATTGGTTTACTCCCTATACGGCCATAATGGCTAGGAGTGGGCCAGGCAGAAGTCACATGGGGAACAGGGGCCCAAACACACAGGCCATCTTTCTCTGCTTTCCCAGGTGCGTTAGCAAGGAGATGTACTGGAAATGCAGCAGCCAAAACCCTAACCAGCCTTCATATAAGATGCCAGCATTGCAGGTGTCAACTTAACTCACTGCACTACAAATCAATACAATTTCTTCTTCAAACATTAGAGAGAAAGCACCAGCTGAGTTTGGGCATAGTGTATTCTGTATTTAAATGTTATTCATTGTTGATTCAGTTTCTTTTAGTAGACACAGGTGTATTCGAATTGACTATTATTTCTGAGTTTTGGTAGACTGTGTTTTTCAGAAGGGGCTTTTCACTTCAATGAAAAGGTCAGATACTTTGGCAAAGTGTTGCTTGTAGTACAACGAGGTTTCAAAAAATTTACTATAGAAAGAAGCTAACCTTGTGGCATATCAGGTAAAACCACTGCCTCAACTCCGGCATCCCATATGAGCACTGGTTCAAGTCCTGGCTGCTCCACTTCCCATCCAGCTCCCAGTAAATGACCTGAGAAAACAATGGAAGAAGGTCCAAGCCTGCTCTCCTGTGAGAGACCCGGAAGAAGTCTTGGTGCCTGGTTCCAGTCCGGTCCATGGCAACTGTTTGGACAGTGCACCAGCAAATGGAAATTCCTCTCTCTCTTTTTCTGTGACTATACATTTAAGTAAATAGATAAAAATTTTAAAAAAAATTTTTGTGGGGAATATTTTGTGGGAAATTACAATTAAAAGATAACTTTATTTTGGCAAAACATTTTTGAAATTCAAGAGTAGTTTTTTCTTAAGCATTTTCCATAAACTGAAGCATGTTCACATGTATGGGTCAACATAGCTATTCCTATTTTATTATGATTTGTGTTACTGTAGTATATATTTCCCCATTCTTTTTTTTAAGATTTATTTATTTTTATTAGAAAGTCAGATATATAGAGAGGAGGAGAGACAGAGAGGAAGATCTTCTATCTGTTGATTCACTCCCCAGTTGGTCACCATGGCCAGAGCTGTACCAATCCGAAGCCAGGAGTCAGGAATATCCTCTGGGTCTCCCACACGGGTGCAGGTCCCAAGTCTTTGGGCCATGCTCGACTGCCTTCCCAGGCCACAAGCAGAGAGCTGGATGGGAAGCAGAGCCACCAGAACACAAACCGGCACCCATATGGGATCCCTGCGCGTGCAAGGCAAGGACTTTATCTGCTAACTACCGCGCCAGACCCCATTCTTATTTTTTAATCCAATAACTGCCTTTACATGTAAAGGGGACTACTTCTTGCGTCTTGTTTTTGTATATACTTTGAACATTTTTGTCTCCTAATTTGGACCACTGGAATTTAAAATGGTTGTCATGCAGTTGGTTTCATATATCTCATATTTGTCACTGTTTTATATTCACTGTTCTCATTTTGTCTTCTCATCTTTTGATGCCTTTTTATAGTTTTAATTGTGCTCCATGCTGAATATGTAAAGATGAACAGGACACCATTGCTGCCTTCGGGATGCCCCAGTCAAAGAGAGAGCCTCATCAGATTGTTTTAACCATCTGGTAAGGGTAGAGACATATGTACCATGCTAACGCAGTAGGAGTGGAGAGAAAGGGAGGCAGCGTACCACATGCAACCCAGAGACAGGTAGGAGGCTGTCAGAGATTGCTTCCGGAGATGACATTTAAGCTGAGCTCTTTGAAGATGGGCAGCAGCCCCCTAGGCAGCAGGAGATCATTTTGAGCAAAGACACAAAGTATGCCTGAGAACAACAGGTAATGGGAGGTTGTGCCGAAGCAAGAAAAAAGCTTCCCAGCTAGGGAGAGGCCAGGGCATCGGAGCTGCAGAGGCCAGCAGAGGTCAAGAGAGGGCGGGCCTTTCGTGCCACACTGGGGAGCCTGCCACGAAGGCCTGAGTCTTTTTACATAACTCCATAGGGGCGGCTGGCAGGGTGCGTGCCCGCCTCAGCACGCAGTAGGTATTATTAGACGATGATCACCAAAGGCAAGACTGAGAAACCACAACTTTGAGCTGAGCCAAAGCCACCACGGGTTCCAGAAAGTTACCCGAGTCCTCTGCCCCTTTGCAAATTCAGCTGGGATGGTGCAGCCACGGTGGTCAGCCAGCCCTGGGCTGCTACCACCTCCTTGGCAGCTGGCTATCCCTCTAGGCTTCGATAGATGGGGACAGAGAGAGCAGGCTACACACACACACACACACACACACACACACACACACACACGGAGTGAGAGACAGAGAGAGCCAGGAGGTGGGAAGTGACACTATAAACCTAGGTGTCAAGATTATTGCATGCAGCACATCGACCCAAAAGGATCATTTCCAGGTTGGAAAAAAGTCTCCTCCCAGGTCACTGCAGCCCATTGGGCAACCAGACCCCCTAAACTGTGTATCCTGGACACCCCCTCCTTCCTGCCTTCCCATCACAGAGAGACCACAGTCATCAGTGTGAACTCCGGCTGGGAGTTAGAAATATCCAGGCAATGCACAATTAGCTCCCCCTTCAAATGTGCACCTGTCTAGTGTTTGAAGAGCCCCTTGAGCAAATACAATCTGGAAGAAAAAGAAAACCCAGATGAGCCAGACTCGTGGTCAGATTAAGCCTCTACCAGCAGCAAGTCTGAAAATACACCTCACACGTATTTTCACATGTCTGTCCTTTTACAGCCTGCACAGAAGGAGCCTAGAGGCATCTCCCTGGTGTTGACACTGAAACATAACGCAGCATCAGTGTGCCCTGCAGGCTGCCAACACTGAGCTGTAGTGAGAGACCAAAGCCATGGGCCTCCAGGAGGAGGTAGAAGGGCTGGTAGATGAGATGGCCCGTGCAGAAGCCCATACATAAGTCCAAGGCGGGAGCACTCCCATGTTCATGGACACCTCTCAGGCATGTTCTAAAACTTCAGGAATATCTTGCAACTGATTTCTGGTGGGGAGATGGTGGAGTGGCAAAGACTAGGGAGATTAGAGTCACGACTGTTCAGGGGCTCTTGCTTATCTCTGTGGGAGCTGGGGGTGGTTGAGTTTTACTGGGGGAAGAAAAAAGTACCTGTAGATTCCTGTATAGAACAGCAAGCAAGGTAATAGCTGGCTTCTCCCTGCAGAAGTCTCACCAGGAGATCTCTGATGTGGCTGGATTTCCCCCCTGGAACTCTCCCTTCTGCTACAGGTGTCATGAGCTTCTCCTGCTTGTCTTTGCTCAAGTCTGAGGCAGAGATGACCCTTCCTAACCACTCTCCTCTATCCTTGGCCATCCCCTACTGAGTGAACCCTCGAGTAACCTTTACCACAAAGCACAGGGGCAGGGGCAGGGATAGAGACTGGCAACAAGGACCCCAGGCCGCAGCGGCTTGAAGGTAGACTGACTCCAATGGCATCAAGGCAGTAAGCACACATCGTGGTCTTTCCTGCTTTGGGGTTTTCTGTGCTTTCCAAATTATCAACAGAGAAAGGTAAATGTGATTTTCTCAAAACCAAGTGTAAATATTGCAAATATTGCAAGCATGCCCTGTTTTCCAGTTACCAGCTTATATCTCTTCATGTGCCTGTCCTTTGGGTCACTCCAGAGGAGCTGGAACTTTACCATGTAGTGAGCAGGAATCCTAGGGGGTAACTTGTCTGTGTCAGAGGTGCTCAGCCCTGCATTGATAAGAAAGGCAGCTGTCACTAAGCCATCTCAGTGGACCAACCTGTCCTTCTTGGTGTCCCCCGTAGGAACAAGGACCCTGCCATTGAAGACGCCTGGCATTACCATCTCTTCCCATTCACCTCCACTAAATCTTGGCTCTCCAGTGAGAGTGATTGACAAGCCCCAAAGGCTACTGGATAACCATGTGGAAGAGGGGTCCACGAGAGGCCTCCTCCACCTGTTACTCTTTTCTTTATCACTTCACGTCCATAGGGGTCCCTAAGCCCCAAGAGAGGGGTCAAGTGTGAATCTGGTAAACCAAGAAGCCCTAGCAGTTGTCAACTTAATTAGCCTCCAGGAGAAATCTATGACTCTAGGAGCACAGTGGCGTTGCTATAGAGACAGGTACAGAAGCGTATTTAGAACAGGGTCTCATCGCATCACCTGATAAAAATAAGACCCAGGCTTTTTAATAGAATGAATTACTTAAGTTTTATATTTAACAGGGGACGATACCAAGGCTATTGCTGGTTTTCAGAATATTTTAGGAATCTGGGCTGCCTGCTCATGCATATGTCAACAGCCATCAGAACATATGCTCTGCTGAACGGCCGTTCAGAACTGAAAACCCACCCTGGGAGATGAGAGCCAGTGCTTCCCACGTGGGGTGTGAGAGTTCTCATGTGTTCCAGAGAAAACGGTAGTGCTCATGGCTGGTCCTAGGCATACGTGATCACTCCACCCCCTAACAATCTCTTGAAGGAAGGGTCTTATGTTCTGTATATAACGAGGCTCAGAGAGGTTCAAGGCTCTTGCAAAGTCACACAGCTAAGAGGCAGTGGAGCTGAGATGGAGATCCAGGCACCACAATGCCAAGACCCCTGCTTTGTAAGACATCCGGAATGACCTCCACACAGATGGGAATTGGAGTAAGGGGATTTACCATTTTTATTGGTGGGGAGCACAGACTTGGTCAGGGTGTACACTTGCTTCCAGGGCCGATCCCAAATGGATGGTTGCAAGAATGCCCCCAGAATCTGACCCTAGTTGGAAAGCACTTCTCAAAGTGTCCACGGTGGATGAGAGTGTGTGGCTTGTTCCTCCTTGTGCCAGAGCTCTCCAGGGTTCTGCTAGCAATCTTCCTTATGCCAGCAGAGCAAAAGCCATCAACACAAGCTTCCATACCAAACACCAGTTTGCGGGAAGCTGATACACACAAGATGAAACTGAAGTTATTTTGGGTGACCATGTTGAATATGGAGGGCCTGTGACCCACGTACTCTGCAGAAGGATACCCCTAAAACCTCTTTTTGGTGTGTGTTTGTAATGATTTCCTCAACAATAAGCTCTCACCTGTGCCTACAAGTATCTGTTTTTCCCTGATGGTGGGGCAGCGATGGTAAGGGCTGGCATGTGCCATGGATGCCATGGGCAGAAGGAGAGTGCGGTGGGGGTACCAGCAAGCAGTCGAAGCACTGGTCTGTCCCAGTCTGTTAACCAGCTGTGGGCAACCTGCCTTCAAGGGTTCTGAGGGAGTGTGATGAGGACACAATGTGATAGACATTCCAACCAAAACATCAGTCTGAATGGTCAAGACAGAGGGACCCGAAGGAAGGTGCCAGAGGCTGGGAACTAGACACAGGACAAGGATTAGAACAAAAACGAGGTAAGGGACTTTTCCAGGCTGCCCACAGCCTGCACTGTGGATCCGGGGTGCAAGTGAGGGAGCTGCCAGCTAGGGCCAGCTCCTGCTTGCACATGACATTCCATTTCTACTTCCACTAATGCTGCAGACAGGCTTGCCCATAAATTCCAATGGCCCTGATCAGGGTGATGGACTGTGCCAGGCCCTGTACTTGCTAGCACATACAAGAAGTTTCTTTGGAGATCTTCCTAATCTAAATGCTGGACCCAGAACCCTAACCAAGAAAAGAGAGAAGACAGAACAGGTCGACCAACCATCTCAGCTATGATGGACTATGTCAATCAGTGGATTTTTCAAAGACCTCATAGTGCTTGGAGTGGCAAGATTGGTAGCGATTCATAACTGTTGCAATATCAAAACCACTTGAGCAAGAACCTCAGAGCATGCCCTACATCCGGGACCTGGGGAGGGTGGGAAATTGGGTGGGCCTTCTCCCTTAATACCCCCCTTTAAACATGAAGGAAACAATATGGAAAAAATACTAGTCTTATCCACTTTCCTGTAGCCCTTGAACCTTTTTACCCTAATTAACTATGTAAAGATTGTAAAAAAAAAAAAAAATTCCAATGGCCCACTGATATATCTATCAAGACTTGAATGGAAGGACGAGAAACTCAAGTTTACTCAAGTTCATGCCCCATGTGACCCTTACAAATGTATTTCTCTATCATGGGAAGGGGGAGTCAGTGTTGTGGTGCAGTGTGTTAAGCTTTAACCTAAGATGCTGGCCAGCCCATAGGAGCGTGAGTTCAAGTCTTGGCTGTTCTACTTTTGATCCAGCTCCCTGCCAATGTGCCTGAGAAGGCAGTAGATGATGACCCGAGTACTCAGGCTCCTGATACCCATGTGGAAGACTGAGATGGAGTTCTGGGTTCTTGGTTTCCACTTGGCAGAGTCCCAACTCTTGAGGCCAGTTGAGGTATAAACTTTCTCTCTCTGTAATTCTGCCTTTCAGATAAATTAATTAATCCTTTCAAACATTTTACTTTCAGAAGCATAACTCCTTCTTTCCTAGATTTGCACAACAATTTATAGGTGGGTTTGGGGGGGGTAGCATTTTTTAAAGGACTCATTACATCAGCTGGATTGTGATTTATGTAAAAGCCATATGGGGGAAGTTGAATGTAGGCAAAGCTTGCTAACCAGTGTTTTTCCTACCTGCTATCTGTGGGATCTGTCTGGAAAATGCAGAAAATAGCATGCATGTCCGAGATCCTAGTTACGTATTTTTAAAGAAGCACATCATTTTGTGCCATCAAAATAATGCCGTGAGGTCCCCTTGGCAGGTGATGAGCCACGTTGACTCAGTGAGCCAGCCCGACAATCCACAAGCCTATTCAAGCCGTGTTCCTGCACAGGCTTTGGACCCCGGGCAGACTGGATGCTCTGGCTGTGATAACTGGGGTGAGACAGTGAACAGCTCTCAACCCCAGCTTGTGTCCTTGGGCAATCACGATGCCCACAGACCAAGGGTGAGCCCAGGTAAGGGAGCTCTCAGTGGGCTGTGTCAAGGCCAGACTCAACTCTCTTTTCCCCCTCCCCACGGAGGAAATGCCATAGCTTGGTCGGAGTGCTGGGGAAGCTGGGTGCTCCTCTCCCTGACTGTTTGCATGACCGAAGACGCGTCAGACAAGCCTGCAACCAGAATTCCCATGCCTACCTGAAGAAAAAAAATGGCCTTTTCACACCTCTTCTTAGCCACGAGGCCTTTCCACGAAAAGGTCTCAGGGACACTAGTAAGCTACTGTCATCATCTGCCACCAAGCCTTCTCTCATCTCTGCCTTCACCCTGACCCCTCTAAATAAGGAAGTTGGCACGGGGACGCCAAGAACTGCTGCCCAATTTGGGTCCTGGGTGGCCTCTCGCCTCCCTCTTCCCCTGGGACCCCAGCCAGCTGCCCCTCCCCTGCTTCACCCCCACCCCCAGCCTGGAGCAGAGATGCTCCCTGCTAACCTCATTCCTGCCTCATAGCTGGAATGACGGCAGCTCCCAGGATCCCTGGGGGAGTGGGGAGGGCGCTGGGGGGCCTGGGGAGACAGCCAGGCCCAGGGGCAGGTTAATGTTACAGCGCCGGGTAAGCGAGCTGGGCCGGCTGGCGTCAGGGGAGGGCCGGGCTGCTGAACTATAAAGCTAGGTCAAGTCCAATATCATGAGCCCCGGGGACACAGCAAGCAGGCAAGCTTGAGAGCGTCCCCAAGCCATGGTCCCCACCGGCCGCGGCTCAGCTGGGGTCCTGCCGCTCTCCACCCGAGTGTCCGAGGCAGGCTTTGGTTTCATGTCAGCAGCCTTCAACTGCCTTCCAAAAATAAGCCCCTGCCGCCATGCTGCGGGGAGAAAAACAAGAAGGGCGGTATTTTTAGGGCCATTAATTCTGACCACGTGCCTGAGAGGCAAGGTGGATGGCTCTGGGACAGAGGCTGTTCATCACTATGTCCCGGGGAACAGGACGTCTCCAGGGCACGCTGCAGGCTCTCGTCTTCCTCGGCGTCCTCGTGGGCATGGTGGTGCCCTCGCCTGCGGGCACTCGCGCCAACAGTACGCTGCTGGCTTCCAGAGGCTGGGGCGCCCTGCTGTCCCGCTCTCGCGCTGGGCTAGCCGGAGAAATTGCCGGAGTGAACTGGGAGACTGGCTACCTGGTGGGCATCAAGCGGCAACGGAGACTCTATTGCAACGTGGGCATCGGCTTCCACCTCCAGGTGCCTCCCGACGGCCGCATCAGTGGAGTCCACGAGGAGAGTCCCTACAGTGAGTGACCCTTGCAGCATGCTTGGCTGGGGCATGGGCAAGGGGTGCGAAGGCTGGACCAGCACTCGCAGACAAGGGGGCCTCATAGTGCTGGGCAGGGCCCCTTAAAAAAGGGGGAGGGAGAGAACATTACTCCTTTGCTGATTAACTTCATGGAGCTCCAGGCATCAGGGTGGCGCTTGCAAGCCTTGACGGAGCCACCAGCCAGCTGCAGGGGTGGGGAGAGTGAACCAAGACCCTCAGATCACATTAGATGGAAAAGCTGATTTCTTCTGGCTCAGCTTCCCGGTAGGCGAAGGAAAGGCAAGCAGCTTGCAAAAATCTCAGGCCTGAAGCACACACTGGGTTTGCTTGCAGTCGCACTCTGTCCCACAGACCCTTCTCCTGAAAGTGGGAAGGGCTGTTGCAGGAGAGCCCTTGTCCGAGGGAGAGAATCACAGGATTCAAGCCAGCGCTGCTGAGCTGAGATGGGGTAAGGTTGATGCAAAGGCATGAGGTAGATGTGGAATCCTAATGACCAGCCACAGGCTGTGTGGCTTCCACCATGCCGAGAGCTTGCATGATTGCAGCAGTGAAAGCTCAGCTTGCAAACCAGAGGGGTCTCTGTCATCCCCGACCCTGATACAGAAATGCCTGCCTCCCCACCCCACCAACTCCCAGCAGAACTGAATCTTTCACAGTGCCATGGCAGGATTTGTAGCCAGGACTTGCTAAAAGCAGAGGGCAGGGGGACTCAGGCATGAGCTTCTGACTTTCCAGGAGCAGAGTCAGTGTGTATGGTGGAGGAATGGATACAGTCACCCCTGTGGGGGCAGAGTCCCCACCCTGATCTGCACACGCCCCCATCTCTCTGTTAGGTCTGTTGGAAATTTCCACGGTGGAGCGGGGAGTGGTGAGTCTCTTCGGAGTGAAAAGCGCCCTGTTCGTTGCCATGAACAGTAGGGGACGATTGTACACGACGGTGAGTGCATCAGGCTGGGCAGGGTGGGCTGGAGAGGAGGGGAGAGGTGGGAATGAGCTTGCACCTGCTAAAGAGGAAACCAGGAACTGCCAACTAGAGGAGTGAATCTTTGCATCTCCGAAGAGAAAAGCAACAAGAGAGCTATGCAAAGAACCTGAAGCTTACGTTTTGTCAGCCTTGGCCTTGAATGCTGACTGTCCTGTCCCCGTTTAGCTGGAGCTTCTGCCATGAATCAGAAGCCAGAGTTACTGGCCAGGGCTGATCTGAAGTCCCCAGAGGCATCTCCGTGGAATGCCCAAGGTCCAGCTTTCCTGCACCCACCTGGGTCATGTCTGGAAGGGTGTACAAGGGTGTTCAGGCAGACACCATGCCTGGGGCTTGCACATGGCATTTTCAGAATACAGGCTGGGATGACGTCCCTGTAGTATTCAGGAATCTGCAAGTGCTTTGGACAGAAATAAGGAGGCTAAAAAGGACAGTCCCGGAGCAGTCCTCAAGGAATACCAACCAAGTTATTTATGGGGAGGGTGTGGAGGGCAAACTGAGGATCTGGGAGAGAACAAAGAGTTCTGCAATAAAGGGTTGGGCTCCAGGCATTGATCTCAGCAGAAGAGGTCTGGAAATTGTGTGAATGGTTGACCAGATGGCTTCTAGCTCCTCATCTCTGTCTGGTTAATTTATATGTATAGGTGGTGTGGATGAAAAACAGTAAAACTGCCATGCCATTCTAGGGACAATTTGCATCCACATTCCCTGGAACCTTCAGAAAGGACAGGGACGCTCCTCAGAGACCCTGGCTCAGTAGGGATGGGATATGGGTTGAGAAATGTCTGCTTTTGCTTTTTCGATGGTTCCCATGTTTCTGTAATATGGGCAAGCTTGGGGACCACCTGGCATCAGGGCTCCTCGAGGGTGAGGAATCTTCCTGCCCCTGGGTTACAGCTGCTTCTATGGCGCACCTGTCCCAAGAGCGGAAGGGCCACTGAGATGAAACTCAGCATGCCTCTTGGAATTCTCACACTGTTCTTGACCACTCTCTGGGAAGCAGTCGGGACCCGCCCAAGCTTTGAAGGTGCAAAGATCACCCCCTTAGTGGAATGACTGAAGGGTACTGGGCCCCTTCTTAGCAGCCAGCACAGTGCCTGGGATCCCAGGGACCTGGAGAACTGATATCTTGCTTGTTGGCTCAGGGACTCCATTCAATGGACATGGAGCAGATAAATCTCTCATAAGGAAGCACAATTAAGCAACTTTCTCTCCAAAGTCAGAGAACACAGCGTCAGAGAAACCAAGAGGTCAAGGTGTGTGGGCTGCCTGGAAGCGTACCAGACACCTGCCTGGTGCTTGCAGCATCACAGACTGGCATTAGGAAGGACCCAGTGGGCTGGGTATTGAGGGCTCCCTAAAAGGGCAGAGTCCAGGAGAAAGGCCAGACTAGGAGTGAGGATGGGGAGAGGGACTTTTTCAAAAGAGCCTTCTCCTCACCCTCCCTGCCACAGTGGCACCTGCTTACGGCGTGTCTTCTGCAAGCTGGGAGACCATTCATCACCCCGGTGCCAGGCAGGCCTGGGTGCAGAGAGCAGAGTTGGGCAGCTGTGGCATAAGTGGTGCACCTGATACTTTGTGTGGCTAGAGACCAGATGCTCCTATTCAAACTCTGTCCCTACTCACCCCGCTCCGCCCCGCGCAAGTCCCTCCTCTTCCCCTTACCCCGCCCCCTCAGAGGCCAAGGCCAGCCGTTATCACGGTCTAAAAAAACAATGGCCAGCTGATAGTAGAGCCAGGAAGACTCCCGCCAAGTGATGATTTCATTCACACTATTTCCCTTTAAGCCCCCTGAACTATCCTCATCTGCTGGCGGCTCAGCTGCTGCTGCCGCTAAACGGGTTTTCTCACGGGGAGGAGGGGAAGTGTACGGCAGGGGAGGGAGTATGGGGCACCAATTCCGGGTCAGAGAACTGAGCCACAAGTAAACCCACCTAGAAGAAGTGGCCGCCCATTATCTCTCCTCTCAGAAAGAGGGCCCACCTAGCTCCTTCCTTGGACCCTGGCAGTATTGGGTGTCTCTTTTTGGTAGAGTGTCCCTACAGATGGATTTCCAGGCATTAGCTCATAGCATCCCTGGCAGGTGCACTTGATCCTTTCCTGTCATCTTGCAAATGGGGACACTGGTGTTTGGGGTCTCCCATGCACCTGCAGCTGTGGGCAGGACTGCCCCCAGGGGAGCATTTGGCATAACAGATGGGAACCCAAGCTCTAGATCCTGGCCCAACCAACCCTCTAGCACAAAGTCAATTTCTTCCACAAGAGCTTTGGACTACTGTCTTGGGAGTGGAAGACCAGGAATAATGGGGAGGAAAAATTAAACAATTTCTCTTGCTCTGGACTTCTGCTCACTTGGGTTTAGAAGAAGGCAAAAAAAAAAAAAAAATCAATGAATTCCCATCTCCTTGTTCCCTTTGAACCTTGGGAAAACAACACTTGGGTGATCTCTTCCACCTGCTGGTAATTCTGGTAGAGTCTACTGATACCTACTAAGAAAATGCTAGTGGGAATTCAGTCATGTTAGTAATCTCAGGGTTACTGACTGTGACTGCATGCAAAAGTACAAAATGAAGTTCAACCTGTAGAGGCCTCTTCCTGCCTGGGATACACCTGTGCAGCAGAAGGCTAAATCTTCCCTTATTCCACCCGCTGTTCTGTCCTCTGGTTGAACACAGAACTCCAGTGGAAGGGACAAAGACCTCCCACCAACCCTGCTGGCCCCAGGAAGTGCAAGAGGAGACAAGTGCTTAAGAACCAAGGTACTTTGAGTCCTGCAGAGACAGGTCTCAACCTCCTGGAAAAAAAAATCAAGATCAATCCAACTGATGCAAAGATTTCCAACATTCCCCACTGACAATGCAGTCATGTGTTAGTGTTAGGAAAGGGCTCAGAGAATGGCAGACACACTCAGGGAAAGACAGGAAAAGCAGCAGGCAAGGGCTACAGAAGGCAGCGTCTTACGCTACAGCGTTGCTCCTTGCCCACCTCGGTCTTCTGTCCTCCAATCCAGGACCCTGTCCATCACCCCACCACACACACACACACACAGAATTGGGAATACAGGGACAAGTGGCCAAAGCATCCACAGGATGACAGTTAGGGAAGAGAGAACCAGGCCTCCATCAGTCCACATGGTCCAGCTCTGTCTAAACCAAAGAGGGTGAGTGTTCTGTTAGGGCCTTGCTGCCAAGAGCCCACACACCCTGAACATGTGTGCCCTTTGAACTCATTTATTTTTAAGCAAAGTGTAGTTCCCCATGAAGTGTGGTTGGACCTGCATGGAATTTAAGACATTATCACACTGAGGTTTGAGCATGACAAATCCAGAAAATGTGCCCAGTGGAATTACTTTCATTTGTTCAAGTAATAATCTGTAGTAGCCGCTTTTATTAACACAGCATTTGCTTGGCTTGAGTGCTTTTTCTCCCCAGATCTGAGGAGTCAACATTCCTGAACCATGAGAACTCCAAGCTCAGGAGTTTGATGGAAAGGATGAGGGGTTGCAGCCAGAACATTGACCAGTAGGACCAGTAGGAACATCCTAGCAGCCTGGAGCATTTGGATTCCAAGGGAAATGCATTGTTTTTCTGGAGTACCACAGGCCTCCCTAAGCAACTGTGCCAGTCTGGTTTTGGTTGCTATAAGGAAATACCTGAAACTGGGTACTTTATAAAGAAAAGAGGTGGATGGCATCATAATGGTGGGAGCACAGGTAGAGAGACCACAAGGAGAGACAGAAGTTGAGGATGGTAGAGGCTTATGTAGCAACCCTCTTGGAAGGACTCACCGCCCAACCCCACAAGAATGGCATCAGTTCTGTCTGAGAGCAGCACCCTTAGTGACCTAGTTATTTCCCCAAAGGAGATCCACTTCTGGAAGGTTCCATGCTGCCTCTCAGGACAGCAACTCTGAGGACCGACCAAGCTTCCAACACACAAATCCTTAGGGGACACACTCAATCACGTCCCAGCCACCATGCCACCTGACCCCATCCAATGGTTGCAGGAAGCTAAGAATGAGCTGAACAGGGAAGCAGCCAAGGCCTTCTCAGGCCAGCTTAATCTAGTCCCATTCTTGCACTTTTATGGAGTCCTGGGATAGCTAAGGAGAGGAGACAGGCCAGAGAAAAGGGACACAATAAAAAGAAACAAAAGCAATAAACTTAAGAGGTATAGTGGAGAATGGTGGTGGGGGGGAGGGACTTGAATCATTAAAATCTGCAAAAAAGAGGACACAAAATGCAAGGGTGCTTCAACAAGACTGCGGAAAATGGAACTTGAAGGATACACTTGTGTTGGTGCCAAAACAAAACTGGAATCCGTGTGTATTAGTACAGTCATGCAGCCTGGGACCACCCACGGACCAGGAGAGCAGGAGTCCAGGAAGATCTGACTCCAAGATGGACACCTTCTAGACAGATCCTGCCTCCACACCCTCTGCTGCAAGTTTTAATTTCTTCTCTCTTATCCCTTAACCATGGACAGAGATAAATGATCCTGGAAGCTGGTTGGGCAGATTCCTCCCCAGCAAGGACTTTAAGTTAGAACAAGGAGGAAGGCAGCTCCAAGGAGGGGCTGTGCCAGGAAAGCCTAGTGGTGTCAGATAAGCATGCCTTCACACTGCACATTCCCACCCATCTTCTATCCTAAGTCCTCCCTTTTTAAAAAACAGACTCATTTGAGCAGATAACCCAGAAAGACAGTGTAAGAATAGAAGACACGGAAGATTATTGGATGGAAACTAAGGATCCCACTCCCCACTCCAACTGGCTTGAAATCACTGAGTTCTTCCCTAGAGGCAGCTAACGTCAGCAGCTCCAGGAATGACGAGTGGTGGGGAGCATGCATGTGTTTAAACATCACAGCATCAGGAGTGTACCATATGGGCTATTCCAAACCCCACATCTTCACGTAGCTGTGAGATCACTGTGTGTATGCGGATAATAAAGATTTATATATTTTTTATATTGTTTGGTGTGGATCAACCAGGCTGAGTCCCCCACTTGCCTCTTAAGAGGCTTTGCCTTGCTTCTGCTCTTTTACTATTAGAAATAAATAATGTTGTTGTAACTGCCGTGTATGTGTGTGTGTGAATGTCCCACTAGGATAAATTCCCAGAAGATTGATGACTAATTGCTGTATTCATTTATCTTCTAGTAAACAATTCTTTAATTTTCTAGCCATGTGACTCTTTTTTAATTTTTAATTTTCTTTTTAATATTGCTTACATAGTTGAGAGGGACGCTTGCCCATGTGGGCCTTAGAATAGGGCAGGAAGGTTCAGAGATGGAAGAAGGTGGGTAGAACCGATGCCTTAGTTTCTTTTTTTCTTTTTTTTTTCCTCCTGTGTCCACAAGGGAGGAGAAGGGGATGCTCCTTGCTGTCAGACTACATCAGCACCTGGCTGATGGTCATTTGACAACGCCTTAGAGACTCCATTGTGGGGAAGAGTGTTTTGAGGGTGTTACCTAAGTGGTTTTGATAGTTCTGAGAAATTGTTTCATTGCTCCAGGACTGAGAAAATCTTTCCAAGATCTATTGGCTGATAAAAGTCCATTTAGTGCATCCACAGACCCAGACACTTGCTACAAAACTTGACCAGGACAGTTGTCCAACCTTTGACAGTCGATGTCCCCTGCTGGCCTAGGTGAGCTGGCTGTCACATCCCTCAGATCACGTGGTTCTTTACAGAGATTATAACAGTACACATACACAGGTGAGGATACAGAATTATTAGTCCCTGTGCCTTCATCAATGAACCTCCAACAGGAAATGCTTTCTCTTTCAATCTGACCATTGCAAATACAATCTCACAGATAAGATTTATAGTTTCCTCATTAGGCATATGTTCTTAAGTTTGCATGCTACATGCTATTTATGTTTTTCTTGTCTGAGGATATTCTTTTATAAATACTATTCATTTTCCAGCAAGTTAAGGATCATGCATATAATAGCAAGTTGGACTGCTTGACCTATGTATATTGTAAATAATTTTTTTTCAGTTCACCATCTACTTTTACTTTGTTAAGGGAATATTCTTTAGGTAAAGATCAAATTTATTATTTTATTTTTTAAATGATTTATTTGTTTTGTTCTTTGGAAGGCATAATTACAAAGAAAGACAGAGAGAAATCTCTTCTGTACTCTGGTTTGCTCTCCAAGTGGCTGCAACAACCAGAGCTGAGCTGATCTGAAGCCAGAAGCCAGGAGCTTCTTCCACATCTCCCACGTGGGTGAAAGCTTTGGGCCATCCTTTGCTGCTCTCCTAGACCATAACCAAGGAGCTGGATGCAAAGTGGAGCAGCTGGAATATGGATCGGCTCCCACATGGGATTCTAGTCTTTGCAGCTAGAGGATCAGCCAGTTGAGCCACTGCACTGGCCCCAGCTCACTCTATTCTTGCTTGGGACTGTCTCTGAACGGGTTGCACTGCCACCTGAGGCTTCATGGATGGGCTCAGAGCTTCCCAGAGTCAGGAAAGCTGAGCAGTACAGCCTGCTTCACCTCTACTCCACCCCAGGTGACACAAACCACCCACTGACGTCCCCAGCCCCTGTTTTTCTCACCCTAAGTGAGGCCCCACGCGAGTGCTGCAGTCCTCTTTGGTTCTGCCCTCTCCTGAGGCCGCTCACTTAGTGGCCTTTCCACTGCACACAATCAGTGTTGGCAGCACACCTCGTTCCTAACTGCACCTCTACTCTCTGTCTCTTTGTTTCACAGCCCAGCTTCCAAGAGGAATGCAAGTTCAGAGAAACGCTCCTTCCCAATAATTACAACGCCTATGAATCTGACGTGTACCGGGGCACCTACATCGCACTGAGCAAATATGGACGGGTCAAGAGGGGCAGCAAGGTGACCCCAATCATGACTGTCACCCATTTCCTTCCCAGAATCTAAGGACCCAGGAAAGAGTGCTCATGGGTTGAAAGCTGCATCTTTTCTCTTGGAATTTTGCACAAGTTGAACAATTCCCCAGCTCCATCCTGTGACTTTTAAGTCAGGCTGAGCTTGTGCTTGGGGAGATGATGTTCTAGTGTTCCTGGCTGCTGGACCTCATGGCATATCACACACACACACACACACACACACACACACACACACACACACACACACACAGAGGGGATTGCAGCCTTGCAGTTTGCATCTTAGAATGACAATGGACCCTCAGCCTTGCCCTCCTCTGTGGAGAGAAGATGGACATGACACTTGTGGGATGTGACCGTGTGCACAGGAGAAGGCCAGGTGGGAGCCTGCATGTGCGGGTGCAGCTCCATACATCTTGATAGCCATACCGTCAGAGCACAGGCATCCCAGAGCATCAGGTTTCTTTCTTCCAGCATCACTGCTACAGGAATGTGCCTACAAGAATGTCAGCTGTCAACCAAGCAGGATTGATGGGTGCACGCCCGTGCTGCTTCTTTCCATTCATCTGTCCACTTAGAGGCCACTAACTGCACATTCAGCATAGGTGGTGGGCAGTAGCTGTACCCTCAGTGCAGGAAGGGCAGGGGGAGAGAGGACAAGGTTTAATTGCCAGCCTGAAAAAAAGAGTGATCAGCACCCCAAACTCTCTGCCTGTGGGGCTCTGAGGGCACAATAATGCTGAGCTTGGGAAGCCAGGGTGGAGACCTGGGGTCCCCTTCTTGGAGAAAAGGAGGGGCTCAGTTTAGGAAGGTCTGCTGGAGGCAGCCAAAGGGACTGGATGTGTAGAGAGCCACACTGCCCAGAGGACTTGGTGCTGTGTGTGGCTCCACAAGAACTGTGGGGCCAGGCTGTCTGCCCATAACTTTTCCTCACTTTGAACCAGATCTTTTTTAAACGTCAGATGACAAGGATCCTATTAATGGCAAACTCTTTGGCAAGGGGTAGAGGGGTGGGAATGCAAAACAGGGCATGAAGGAAGTAGAAAGGCCTTGGACTACTGATGCTAATTCCTTTCCAACTGTGTCCAGGAAACTCACCCAAGTTCTCATCTGATACTCTCACTTCCTTTCGTCCCCACGGCACACACGCTGTGGCCTGCATGCAGAAGTAATGGGCACCGTGACCTCCGGCGTTTGCCCCTCTTCCTGCCTACAGTAGAAGAGGAGTGATAATCCCATGAAGTCAAGTGGTCAAGCCAAGTGGCTCCCCGCTGCACAATGCCTTCTTGCTGACTGTCCTTTGAAAGTATTTAAAGCAGAGAGGTTCCCCCCAAGCGACTATAAATGTTGTCTGCTGGAGCCTTTGGATTCCTGAACCACTGGAATGTTCCTAAATCTGAAACCAGAGCAAGCCATAGCAGAATGCAACTATCTTTGGCATACGTCGACCATGGAGTTACAAAACGACCTGACACCCTGTGCTACTCTTGGAGGCCCCCGGCCTGCAAGACAATCCCGCATCTGTCACAAATACCTTCTTCATCTTCAACCTGTCTATTTGCAGATGCGCCCATCTATAGATAGATCGGGGCTGAAGACGGAGGTTAATGATCCAAGGCAGGGGCTCCACAAGGGCCACCTCTGCATGCTGGTTGAGAAGGCAAAGGCCACACTGAGGTGAGCAGAGACTGAGCAGACAGCAGGAGCTCTGGATCGGGTGTGGACACAGTCAAGCCTTGAACAGAAACGAGAAGGAGCTGGAGGTTTGAGACCAAGCGGAAATGGGAGAATATTGACTGCCTTTGACTGCTCAGATTATTGAATTGCAGGTGACGGGGCTGATTTTTTTTCTGGGTGGGGGAAGGGTGTCTTGTGCAATGTGCTCAGTCTGTTAAACAGAGGCATAGGCAATGGAAAGCTGAGTGCACACAACCTCCTGGCAGAACTGGGATAGTAAGACAGCGAGGTTTTACAAGAATCATTTCAAAGCGTTGCTCTTTGAGCTGTAAGCATTTCAGGCTGGAGCAAAAGCAGTCTCTATCCTCAGGAGTGCACTCAGGAACCAGAACAGAGTTAAGATTCACCAAGGGCATTTCCGATCTTTGCCTGCTGCTATTGTACACAGACCGAAAAAGCTGCTTCCTGCCTGACCACATGTCCACCAAGCCCTTCACTTAGCTGCCAGTCCAGAGGCTGTAGAAAACATCGCCATGGGCAGAAGCACCAGAGAGAACACCTGCTTCTCACTAAGGACATACCAAGAAAGGCCTGGGTCCTCCTTCCTCCCCCGCTGAGTCCTGAGCAGAGAGCCTGCTGCGTGGGGTTTCAGAGCTGATTACCTGCCTTCTCTCCTCCTCCTCTTTGGCAGCTCCGTGTAAATTTGGGGTTCCAAGACACAGCGGGCTGACTTCTTCCCTCTCCAAGAGCACATGAGAAGGAGCTGATGGACTGCTCAGCTGCAAAGGCTCAGAAGCAAAGGAGGAGGCCGCTCAGGCCCCTTGCAAACTCTCCACTGTCTCTAAGCCCTTAGAGGAAACGAGGGAATTCCAGATGCCTTATCCATGCCTCCTAACACGCCTTCGCTTCTTGCTTCCCATACATCTCTGAGCCTCCCTTGGAAATCTGCATATAATTTTAGAATGAACACCCTCTCATCACCCTCTTCAACTTTCCCCTCTGCCACCAAGTTTCATAAAATCTTCAACGTAACCAACCCTCCCCCACACACTTCCAAGTCCTCGGTCAGGGTCATTCTATGGCTTAAAAATTTTTTTTTTCTCAAGTCCTCCGATTCAGGGCACAGACCTCTCTGCTCCTCAGACCTACAGGTTTCTCCAAAAGTTCTCCCCTGAGGATCGCATCCTGGAAAGTCTGGAATTCTCCGTCCTTGGTGGGCTCTGATTCCCATTTTCTTGCCCTGAGATGTCAGATCCTTCAAGTTCTCCCTTTCTGCAAGTCTTGAGGGAAGAGGGACAGGAAGGAGGGTCCCTGCATTTTGTTTTGTATCTGAAAATCGTTGCCTTGCCTTGCATTCTGCCACAGTTCCCCCTGCTCTCTGCACTGTACAAACACAGCTGCTGAATGTGACTGCTTGGCCCCCGAGAGACCCTGATGCCTTTTCTAACTTCACCCTTCTGATCCTTCGCATGTGGACACAGCTAGAAAACTCTCGCTTCCCACCCCGACGGTGCATCTCCTTGAAGGGGCAGGTCAGGTGTCACTGAGCAGGTGTCACCTGACCCTCTCCTACCTGCAAAGTGCATCTCCCAGATCTGCTTCTACCTCCTTCTCCTCCAAGCAACCAGACACTCAATCTGACGGCTCCCGGGAAAATCCAGAGACAGAAGTGTCTGGGGCAAGGTCAGAAGAACAAGCAGAAGGACTCTGCTCGGTGCTTCAGGCTGAGTCGATGAATCCTCCTCCACAACAGGAGGGCGCGATGATGCCTGTGACAACCCTGAAGCCGGTCCGTCCTGCAGACAGCCCCTGCGGAACCGTGTTTGTATACCTCATCGAACTACTGCAATTCCAGCATCGGGCAGCTGTGTCCTGATGTGGTTTTTCTCTTTGTATATATCATTAAGAACCTCAGGCTGGGTCCCCCCGTGCAGAGCTGTCCTCATTTGTGGGAACAGCAGACAGGAAACCCAGAAACTGTTCAATAATGTGCTTTGTGAAATGTGATGCTTCTATTTTTTTTTAAATATGTATGTGCTATGCACAAATCATATCATGTTCCAGCCCCAAAGGAAAAGGCCTTTTTATACGTTTCTCTAAACTATTTGCCTCCACCCCTCCTATTAAAATAAACAGCAGAACTCTGGGTTGTGGTTGATTTTCACATTGATTCTTTTTTTTTTTTTAAGTATTTATTTATTTTTATGGGAAAGTCAGATGTACAGAGAGGAGGAGTGACAGAGAGGAAGATCTTCGATCCAATGATTGACTCCTCAAGCAGCCGCAATGGCAGGAGCTGCGCTGATCCGAAGCCAGGAGCCAGGAGTCTCTTCTGGGTCTCCCACGTGGGTGCAGGGTCCCAAGGCTTTGGGCCGTCCTCGACTGCTTTTGCAGGCCACAAGCAGGGAGCTGGAAAGGAAGCTGGGCCACCGGGACACAGACTGGCATCCATACGGGATCTCAGCGCACTCTAGGCAAGGTCTTTAGCCACTAAATTACCGGGCTGGGCCCCACCTTGAATCTCCCTCCCTCTTAGGAAAGCAAGCAAGGCAAGAGAAAGAGAGAGCAGAGACCCAGGGCACTGCCACTTATGAAGGCAGCGAGACATTGCATGGCTCCCATGGTCCGACCACTTCATCTCACAAGTGGGGACTTGGGCCTAGAAGGAAGAAAGCGATCCAAAGCCGTATGAAGGCACCAGTCCTCTTCTCTCTGCCTGAGTCAGACAAATAAACATATTCATGTGCCTGTAGAAGCCACTCATTCATCCGTCTATCCATCCAGAAGCACCTACACGACACCTTGCCTATGATTGGGCTAGCTTTGGGGGACTCCTGTGTGAACAAAGGTGCCGTCTCCATCCTCTCACCAATTTACATGTGAGAAGAATCACCCAACAGCATGCCAACATGCCACGGCCCTAGAGGGCCCAGGATCCATGCTTATAAACCCCAGCCAGGCAGTTCTAACCTTGAAAAGGGCTGCTCAGAAAGGATGACCAGGAGTGCTTAGCATTTGCACTTGGGGAGACTCCATAAATTAGACCTGGTTGTGGGCGAGACAAAGATGACCAAGAGCTGGGTCCCTTCCCTGGAGCAGGGCCTCCCTCCCTCCACTCTCCACTTCCTGGGTCTCCCCTCACCACCTGGACTATCTCGGTCACACTCCTGCTCCAGCCACCCACACCCCACACCCACCCACTACCACATCCTTCCTCATGCTCTCCCTGGGGAGATGATCTCGTGCCTTCAGCCAGACAATGCTGGTCCTGAATGCATGCACGTTCTCCGGCGAGAGCCACCTAGTCTCTTGGCTTCCGCATCTCACTGCTGTATTCATTCATGCACTTCGTAGCTCTAAGTTCCTCCTGTATGTGACAGCATGCCAGGCCCTCGGAATATTCTTATGACACGTGACTCACACACTTGCAGACTGTAAGACAGGTGGACGTTGAATAAATCATAAGAGTAAAAGGCGATGAGGGATGTGAAAGAGAAGTTTGTGTTCTGGGAATACAGGACACAGAATCCATTCCAGAGAGAGCTGAGCTGTGATGAGTGTTGGGCAGGTAAAAGGGAGTGATGTGGAGATAAGGGACATAGCAGGTGTATGGAACTGAAGGGGACAGGGGAAGACGGTGGTACCTACAGGGATGAGAGGAGAGCTGGGAAGGATGGAGCTCAGGCAGGTGGGAAGGAATGATGTGGAGTATCTGCTAAGGGACACGAAGGCATTCCAATTTTTTAAATGTTGCATTATCATTTCATGCAATTAGTGGTAAGTGAAGCCATAACCATAAATCAGGTCATGAACATTTTCACTGCTCCATGAAGATCCTTCATGCATATTCACTCTTTGAGCGGTAGGGAGGAACATCAGTGAGAGAAAGAGAGAGAGACCTTCCCAGAGAGGCTGGTTCTCTTCTTACCACTGTGCAGGACCCTTTCCTTCCGTGGCGCCTGGCTCCTTCCACCTGAAGTGACTCAACGTGGCTTCCAGGGCTCTGTCACCAGCAGCAACCAACTTCCTCCTGGCCCTCCAGGGATCTTGACCTTGGAAACTGGCCACAGTACTGTGGGGAAGCCCAGACCACATGGAAATGCCCAGACCGACAGCACCAGCTGAGTTCTAGTTGTCATCCCAGCCTTGGGCACAGGCAATGAGAAGGAGAAAAGCCTCTGAGGCATCTCAGACCCTGTTCAAGCGCTGACAGCAGCCCCACAAGAAGCTCAGGGCAAGAACCAGCTGTCACCCCCGAGAACTGGGAGACAGGATGAGAAAGCGAGAGTCACATTGTACACCACTAAGTTCAGGGACAATTTGATCTCCAGCAACAGTTACTGGAACAAAATGCAGAAATCTCGTGGGACTCGGACACCAGGAGCCAGGAGCTTCCTCAGGGTCTCCCACATGGGTACAGGGGCCCAAACCCTTGAGCCATCTTCAACTGTGTTCCCAGGCTATGAGAAGGGAGTTGGATCAGAAATGGAGCAGCCTGGACGCAAACTAGCACCCAGATGGGATGCCAGTGCCACAGGTGGAGGCTTAGCCTGATGTGCCGTGGCACCAGCCCCATTGCTGCTTTTTGGATGGTCCAGGTTGACTAGTAGTCTCTGTATCCCCAGCCCCACACCCACTGAGGAAATGCATGGCAGCTGCTCCTTGGAAAATTCGTGTAGAAAAAGTAACCGAATGTGTGAATTTGCTTGGAGGATGTGGGGTGGACTAAAAAAGACTAGAAAAACAATTGCTGTGCTGGGTCCATAGAGGGAACCCTCTTATTTGCTGAGAGACTGGGTCAGAGGATGGAAGCCCAGCTCTGGCTCTAGGCGTGGGGAAGTGGGACTCTGGGTTTTCTAGTGCAGCTAGAAATGCCTCTAGACCCCCATCTCAGCAGCAAGAAGGCCCCGGGGAGCCCTCAGCACTGGGGTCCCTTCCCTCTGCCAGCCCTCCTCCTTGTTGCCCTCACAGGAGCTGTGAGTCATTGCAGAGGAAGCCGATGGGGAAAGCCCTCCACAGTGAGTACACGCTGCAAGCGGCTGCCTGCTGCTGGCTGGCCCATCCAGATAAACAGCAGGCCAAACGCGCGATTCCTGTCACCTTTGATCCCAGGCCGTGATTTATCGTAAACACATCTCTTGGGGCCAAACAGTTCTAGGAATCAGGCGGGATGCTGAATCCTTGGGCTGGAATAAAAAAAACAAAACAACAACAACAACAAAACCTGACAGGGACCACCAAGCCTGCATCTCTGCTCAAGATCAAGTGCCCCCCAAATTCACACAGTGTCTTTGGATTCTTCCGACAGGCTTGTGGCTGCCTTGGGGTATCTGTTCTGGAAGGTTCTCCATTGGAGGTGTCCACCCACAAACAGCATCATTACCCATTCAGTTCCTTCCACTGTTCATTCCATCCTCAGTTGGCTTTCTGACCCTGCGCTGGGAGCAAGCCCCAAGGGCAGGCTGCAGAGGCTGAGGGAGGCGCAGCCAGCCAGCCACACCGAAACCTGGGCTCCATGTCCTCCTTGCTGTATGATCTTGACCTTAAACCTCCCAGAGCCTCAGCTTCCCTCCTGGTGAGTTGAATGCGTCCTTAGCTCCCTTCTTGCGGATTTGTTCACTGAGTTAAGCTGAACCAGAGCGACTCCTGGTAAGGACCCTTTCAGAGGTTCAGGCCTGCTCAGGCCAGTCATTCTGATAAGCACCGTGCGCACACATCGCTCACCCAGTCTGTGATCCAAGATGCTTTTCACACTTCTCTCGTTCGAGGAAACGTAGGCCAAGAGATGCTGAAGTTGCTGCCAGAATGAAACGCGGAGAGCTGAGCGTCATGGCACACTCCACTTCCCTTCAGAAGCTTGGCATTTTGCCGAGAAAGAATGAGATGGCAGAACATGCCCACAGCACACTTGCCACTAATTACCAAGGTCAAGACTGGATCCTGGGCCTCCTAAAGGCCCCGTGGATGTTGGATCTCCAGTGCCGTTTGCGTAGACATGCACACAATAGCAGGGCTGGAAAGAGAAGGAAATTCCACTAGGGAGAACGCTGTTGGGAAAAGCAACTAACGCAGGTCCAGCTGCCATCTGCTCACCAGGGCCTGGGGCAACGGCAGGAGGGGTCAGAGCTCAGCAAAGCCCGACCGTTGAAGACCTGCCCTGCTGATGTGCACGTGCAGCAGCGATGTTAGGGCTCAGGTGTCCAGAGAGAAGAAGGACCCAGCGTTGACGGAAGGCCCAGGTTGCCCTAACTCCAACCCCGGCCCTGGCATTTGCCAGCAATTTGCGTGACATCCCTGGGTTTACATATGGCATGTTCCGATTTAGTAAGATCTTGTTTGTGACAAACACCCCACATTACAGGGGTACATTTCGTTCCTTCTTTGGGTGGGAAAGCACATTTTTAAAAAAGATTGGTTTAGGTAATTGGAAGAGAAACAGAATCACTCCCCAAATGGCTGCAACAGCCACGGCTAGGCCAAGCTGAAGCCAGGAGCCTGGAACTCCACCCGGCTGTGCCATGTGGCTGGCAGAGTCCCAGAAGTCTGAGACACCTTTGATTACTTTCCCAGGTGCCTCCTGGCATATGTGTGTGGCAGACATGGCCCTGCCAGAGAAGCAGGCTTGGCTAGGAGCCCGACAGAGGAACTGAGAAATCCTTTTGAGATGTGAGCAGCTAGCATAAGCCTGGCTTAGGAGCCAGAGAGTCCCGACAGGCATTCCAACCCTCATTATTTTTTGAACCAAACTAGTTTTGAGCAAGCCAAATAGCCTCTCTCAGCCTTAACTTCCTCTCCTATATAAAAAAGGGAAAAGCATCAGTTTGGTGAGTTTTGGTCTAAATGGCACAGACGCA